CTTCAGGAGATTTCCTCTTAGGGGCTCTTGGTGCTGCTGCCTTGGAAGAGGAAGCACCTCCCTCAGTGCTTGGGGGCTCAACCTGTGGCACTTGAGCCTCTCCAGCCTCCATGTCCTGTGCTTTCTCCTGCTTTTTCTCCTGCTCTTTCTCCTGCTTTTTCTCCTGCTCTTTCTCCTGCTCTTTCCCCTGGTCAAGATCCATTCCAGTTTCCCTCTTCTGTTCAGCTTCTTCTCTCCTTTTCTCTTGTTGCTTCCTAGCAAAGTTCCTCCAGAATACATTGTCTTTAGGTTGTGCCTTGGGCTTGGCCTTGGCCTTGGCCTTGCCCTTGGCCTTGGCCTTGGGCCTCTTCTTCTTGCCTTCTATTGGCTCATCTGCAGCCCTCTTGAGCAACTTCTTCAGCCTTAGCCTCCTTTTCTGCTTGTATTCCTTCAAATCATTTTGGTTCCCATCTTGGTTGTCCAGTTCTGATATGACTTCTGAAAAGTCAGTGTCATAACCACCTGCTTCATCTTCTTTTTTGGCCTTTGCTTTCAAGTGGCTTCTTGCCAGCTCCTGATGCTGTGGGGCAACCAACATGTCCACCAATTGGTTCCACAAGCTTTCCTTGGACTGGTTCTTTTTGACTTCCATGCCACTGAAAAGCCCCATGAGCTTTTGGAGCTGTGAGTGTGTGATAGTTTGGCCACACATCAAGGCTGCTGTCTCCAGTGGCAATGGGGTGGCCCCTTCAGTGAGTTTCCAGCCTATTGGCCCCCTCCTCTCATTGACCATGCATGGTGTAACTGGCAGCTCAAGCCAGTCATCCAAGTCAACAACATAGAAGAATCTGAGCTCTTGCCTCTTTGGCTTGCAAACATAGCTCCTGCCACCATCCTGGTCCAGGACGACAGACATTACAGCACCCAGGAATCCAAATTCTGCCGAAGCACACACTTTCAGCATCAGGCCAGTGGACTGCTGGGCCACAATAGATCCTGGTCTGGCCAGAAAGCTGACCCAGGCTGAGTTGACATTGCACTCCTTATATGTGGAATTTTTGTTCTCCCAGAACTCAAACAGCCACTGTGTAGCCACACTGGACTGAAACAGTGCATGTGGGCCAGGTGTTGGCCATGTATGGCTCTTGTCCTTCTTTTTCATCAACTTCTGAATGCTGAGAGGAACCTTTTTGCCATAGCTTTTCATGCTGTCCACTACAGAGCCCCTGCACTTCTGGTCCCATGCAGGCCCAAGTGCCTTGTCTCCTGGATTTGCAGAGACTACAGGCACTTTCCTTTTCTCCAAGACTTTGGACCTCAAGGCATTGGCCATTATGGTTGTGTTTCCGAAGGTGTTGGCTTTGGACTGTCGAAACAAGTCTCTGCCAAATTGGTGTATATTTTCCACCAATCTGCTGTCACCCAGGCTCTTGGCAACAACCATCACCAGCTTGAGGGCAGCACTCTCTGTTGTGAAGACAGCTTTGTTCCTGGCATCTTGCTCAAAAGCCATGTAGATGGTGCGAACCATTGGGCTCTGCCTCCAGTGCAAAAACTCCAGTGGCTGCACATTTGCACCTGCATTGCTGGCACTCTCAGCTTGAAGTAGTATCTGCCAGTGCCTCTTGGCTTTCATGTGAGCATCAAGTGCCACTTCTGGTGAGGGTGCTGCCACATGCCCATACATCATTGGAGGGAGGCAGTGGCCAGCTGCCAGGCTCATGGCCCTTTGTTCAAGGAGGTTGTGGAAGAGTTCTTCTTGCCACTCTAATGCCATTTCATGTGACCGGAATTCAGGAGTCAAATGCTGTAGGCATCTCTCATCATGCAATGATGTGAAAATCATTTCTATCAGCTCCTGTTTCCAAAAGCCACTCCAACAGCAAGAGATGTTGTGCTGCAAGACATGTTCTGGTGCCACAATGTCTCTAGCCCTGGCAGCAAAAAACTTCCACGAGGCTTTCCCCACTGACATAATACAGTCCTTGATTGCAAGTGCCTTGTCAGTAATAAGTTGAGGTGCCAACTTCCAGGACCCCTTTCTTTTTTTCAACTCACTCAGCTCCTTCCTGGGGTCCTGGTGCTGCTGTGGTGGGCCTTCATCAACTTCCTTCTCCGAGGCTTCGTCACCCACACCAGTGTCAGCAGCATGCTCCATGATCATCTTAGTGGCCACCAGCTCCCCACTGTAGAATGTCATGGTCTCGAAAAATGAGAACCACCTCATCAATTTGATGAGGGGACCTTTTTGTTGGAAACTCTGCAGATCCTTCAGACTGTCAAAAAGGTCCAGCAACCCTGCAAAGGTGGCAGGTTCCTTGATTCTCTTTTCCTGGCAGATTCTGTGCTGGTATCTTTGAAACATCTGGCTGTAGGCTGATTCTGTGGCCATGAAGTCAGCATGTTTGGCCTTCTTCTTGAAGAACCATGCACTGCTCCCAAATGGACCATAGTTAATGTTACACACCAATGTTAACTCAAGCACAGTCTTCCAGCCATTGTAGCTGCACCTCTTCAGGGCTAGTTTAAGATCATTCCAAGCCCTGTGGAATGGATCAAAAAGGGCTAGGAAGAGGATCGAAAACTCTGGGTGGTATTGGAGGTAGTTCACTGCACCAATAATGTTTGGGCCCTGATCTGATATCGAAACAAGGCATGGCAGCTTGCCCAGGTCCATGTCCACTGGCACTTCTGGGACAATTTGTTCATTCCCATCCTCTAACTCCTCAAAGATGTATGCCCTGTCACCTTCCAATCGATATTGGCTGGCAGTCAGAGGTCTGCAGTGTAGACCAGGTGGGATCTGAAAGCTCTGCAGAGACAAGCCAATGCTTTCCAAGGCTGATGACAAAGCCTTAATCTCCTTGAACCCTTCCAGCCTGGTAAGTCTCCTGCTCTTTGCAAGGGGAATAAGGTCATCTGCCAGTTCAGAGACCATAGTTGCAATCATCTGCTGGGACATCAGGTAGCATGCTTTGTGTAGGTGGGGGCTGTAAGCCACAGACATCAACACTTCTTTGCCACCATAAGTGCTGGGGTCCCAGCATACAGAAATTTGGCTGACCCCTTGAAATTCTTTCTCCAATACCTTCTTGTGCAGCAAACAATCCAGGTAGTTTTCATAGACCATGAGCCTGCCAGTGGCACCTCCCAGCTCTTGGTGAGTTGATGCTATCTCCCTCCTGTTTTTCTTGGCCTTCTCAAGCTTGAAGAGTAGCAGGAGCTTATTCACTGGATCTGCAATCCTCCTGGCATGGCCACTTTTGCCTCTCAGGGCAGGAAGGCTTTGTAGTTGCTCTCCACTTTTCTTGAGTGCCAAAAGGTCCAGCAATTTGCCACAAGCCACCACCCACTCTGGCAGCATTGGCTTGAGAAGGCAGTCCCACAGCTTCTGCCCATGGACCTTGATCTTTTGGTGGCAGAAAATGTAAGCAAAATAGGTCAGAACATCATTCAATGTTGCTGTCCCCACTGCAGAAGTGATACATTTGTTTTGCCAAGTCCTGACCCCCAGCTTCTTCCACAGTTGGATTGCACCAGGGCAAAGATCTATGAACTGTGCCCAATTTCTGCATATACTTTGCTCTGAGAAAAGAAGCTCTTGGCTCGCCAGAACACCATTGGGCTTCACCAGCATGGCCATGAATGGCCTCCTCACATCAGCAGCCTGGAAAGCCAGTGTCACCATCTCCAGAAGCAGTGTCAAGGTCTTGACCTTCACAAGGGCCTTCATGGCTTTGTTTTTCAAGATCCACAGGAGCAGCACTATCAGTGCTCTGCTTTCAAAGGTGTGGTCCTGCCACTGGTCACCATCACTTTCTTTCCCTCTGTAGTGGAACCCCTCTATGGGCACTTGCTGGCCCTGAAGCTCAGCTTGGATTGATGCCTTGTTGTTCCTCAGGAATTTCCCTGGGTCCATCTTCAATCCAAGGTATGCATGGACCCTTGTGAAGAGCCACTCAGGCTTGTTTTCATTGTTGATGTATGCTCTTTGCAGCAGGGTGTCCAAAGTTGCAACTCCAAATGGCAGCTGCAGCCCAGTGCCTTCACCAGGCAACTGTTGGGCGCCTTCCTCTTCACCCTCCACTATCATTGCATCCTCTTCACCCATGTCCATAGCTCCCCTACCAAGGCTCAACTACCAAAGGCTCCAACTACCAAAGGCTCTTATATTATAAACTATAGGGCCAGCTTAAAGATTCATTCTCAGTCTTACTTGTTGGTGCATACTGAGTTACTGGCCATACTGGGTTACTGGCCTGCACATGCATACTTGCTTACTTTGCTTGTTACTAAGTAGGGAGCAATGCTGTCAATGGCTGGTGTGATGTTCCCATTGCATGAACAGTGTGATGTGTGCCACTGTGTGTGTACTTGTACTTTCTCAGTGTCATGTCAACTCATAAAAGGGGCTTAGTTAATCAATTATTGAATTATTGAACTATTGCTGAGAAACACTATTGAATTTGTGCTGACATATATTATCAGGTCACTTTGCCAAAGCCTGCCACCCCACTCAAAAGCTTGAGCTTCAATGCTCATTGAATGCCCATGACACAGCCAAAGTGCCACAGCCTTGCTGTTATCATGACACAAACAAAGTAGCACTAACAATGCAAGGATTTGAAACTGCATTCAATCATTTGCTGAAAACAAGAGCTGGGGCCAGTACAGGCCCACCAAAGCCCACATCCACATATAAATATAGGCATTCATAGCCATGATACTGCCTCAGGCAATGATGGCAATGATGGCCATGCCCCAACTCCACAGCCACAACCAGTGGTTGTAAACACCTGTTTCCCAACACCAAATCTCAATTCACTGACAACAATTCATATAATTCACTGACAAGTGTCACCCCTCAGTCTGATGATGATGAAGGATCAGTGCCAGCCTGAACCATCAGTGCCAGTCCCATCCCCACAACAACCCTTACTACCTCTCAGAA